AAAGAAAACACTGTTGACTAGAGAGAGAGAGAGAGAGAGAGAGAGAGAGAGAGAGAGAGAGAGAGAGAGAAAGAGGACAGAGAGGAGAGAAGGGAGAAAGAAAGGAAACCTCCAGTCGGTCTTGGGCTACTGTTCTCAGTCACTTTAAAGGTGTAAACTTAAAACGCACAAATGAATCAAAGCGGGGCTTTGGAGGGCTTGAGGGGGAGCACAGAGCTAACCTGCTGGTACTCACACCCTTGACCAAAGACGACATAAAATCGCAGACAATGAGAGGTTAAGCAAATGATGTTTTTCTACAACCCAGCGTCAAATGATGTATAAAAATCTGAGGTCAGCTGAAAAGTATTTTCAGAACCCACAGGGCTGAAATTCTGTAACAGCTGTTAAATATGACAAAACTTCACACCCCCCTCAAAAAGAAAAACTACAGCTATTCCAAACTCTGTATGAAAGAAAATAGGATAAACAGATGTCTGGCTTCCAGACAGGAAAGCAGGACAGACTTGGAATGATAAGTCTTCCAACTCTATAGACTAATGCCAGATTTATTGGGGAGGGGACACTGCCTGCCACAGAGATGCCAGCAAGCAGGACGCCAGAGACCGTGCCATCTGGAACCGCCCCGCAGAGCCTGCTCTCAGATGCACAGCCCACAGTGTGAGGCCAGCCCGCGTGGGCTGCCACACGGCCCTGGTCCTGCACCATCCACATTCGGCTTGCCCAGGCTGCAACAGTTGGACCTGCCTTTCAGGCCTCCCTCCCCAGTCTGAGCAAGGAAAGGGAGGTAAAGAGGATGTGCCTTCCTGGGCACTTCCAGAGCTCCTGGGGAAACAGACCTGGACAGCACAGGCAAATAACGTGAGCCCAAGTGTGGTTTTGGTTTAGCAGCTACGCCGACATCCTGTAATCATTTGCAGCCCTTGGAATGTACGGGTGAAACAGGAGAGATTTATCTGCTCGGATAGGGGAGATGTGGACAATGGGTGCGCCTAACGAAGAACATCTGCTTTTGTGTTTTCCCAGAAAATATTATTCCACAAGGAAAATGATACATCCATCCTTCCCAGCAATACCATCAAAATTCATGCATGTATATGTGAATGTGTAGATATTTGCATACACACACACACTTCACATGAGGGGTGCCTGTGGCTGTGCATGGCCGTGTGTGTGTGTGTGTGTGTGTGTGTGGTAAGGGGGGAGGCCTACTTCCTTGCACCCGGCTTTCTACAGGTCAATTCAGTGGACACAGATATCTGTCCCTGTGTCTCTCTCCTTATGAGCCATACCTTCCCTTCTCCCTCAACTCAGTAAGTTGCCATATTACTTTAAACATGTGTAGCTATAGAAAATTGTTTTCTGACACTGTTTTATGTAGAAGCAGCAGTTCACATAAGAGAACTTCACAGTAACCAAAAGGTTTCTGACGGGAGACATCCTCACTGCCCCTTTCACTCTGAAGTGCCTTCCATGCCGTTCATGAGTAATACTTCTGAAAGATAACTAAACTAAATTGTGTAATTAATTGATTTAAGGCATCAGGGCCTATAGAATGTGATTACCCTGCCAGAGCAGGGAGCTCACTTCTCTGTTTTCATAACACAGAAAAGTGGTCTCAATGTGCGGAAGAGCTCGGTGTGGTTGGAACAAATGTGGGTCCATTGATCTCAATTCAGGTTGGAATTATTGGTTTATATCCTCAGGACAAATATGCCTTATCTGGTCAGAACCTGCTAACTGTATCCAAAGGCCACGAGGAGCCAGTGAAGCGCATTGTATATAATTCTTTTTTAAGCCAACTAACCAAGTGACGACACGGCTGGTGGAAACCTGTAAACCGACTCACGGATCTGATGGGACATTTTATTCTGCAATACTCAAGAGGAAACCAGGCTAGAACCTCAACAGAAGCAACTAATTTTCAGAGGCAGCACACATACCCCACAGAAATGATCATCATTATGAAATTGAGATGCATCTCTACTGCAAAAGACCACATCACTCCAAAGAGACCCCCGCCTGAAGGTGATTTTCTCTTTCTGATTAATACAAGCTGTCCTAGGAAATACGAAATTCTTTTTTTCTCTCCTAGAAATATGCCTTAAACTGAAGATGATGCCAATACCACAATCATTTCACAGGGATTTATAGCAAGCAACAAAATGTTAATAGTATTTTGTCATTACAAGTGACAGCTCTCTTAAGAACGCTAAAACTGCACATCATACTTGTCAGTACATAAAACTATTCTTACCTTAAAATCCCTAACATGGAAGTTGATTAAAATCCCTATAAAATTGTCATATCTTTGAATTTAGAAGCAGAGCAGATTTTTCATCAATAATTAAGACCTGCAAAGCATTTATGCCAAGTGTAAATGGAGCTTCAATCCTCCTTATTCAAATAAACATGGTAAACCCATTAACCAAATGTTTTTACATTTTTCCCTTCCTCTCATGCTTCTAGAATATCAAATGATCACGTACTTCTCTTAGGTTAAAGAAGTGTAAGTGATCATAGCATATATTTTAATTAAACAAACATAAGGGATCATTCCCTCAGACAAGAATTAAAGAGTAAATTTTGTGTGCCTGAGGAAAATACGTTCCATCATGTGATTAAAAACTAAGTCTTGAGTGTTAGTCAGCATCAATAGTCAATAAATGATTGAACACTGCACAAATCCAAAGTGATTTTGAAAGGGGAACCAGCATCTAAAATATGAGTCAGACCAGCAGGGCCACTCCACCATTGAGGCATGCTTAAAAAAAAAAAAACCTCATGATTTAAAAACAAACCACATTTAAACTCCACAAATACCACTCAAAAGATGAAGCACTTTCACAACCCTGCATTAAAAGCTAACATGTGTTGCCTTCCCAAGCACCTTCCACTCAGACAAGACTCCAGCGGCTGCTCATGTACTTTTAGCCCATCAAAAAAATAAAATAAAAGAGTTCTGTCACAACACAACAGCCCAAAGCTGAATGATTTGCATAGCCACCACACTGAAGACAAATACAATTATATTGATGTCTGTAGCTCCAGTTCCATAAAGTGTTGAACTTGTTCTTAGTTCTGAGTGACGGCCACAACTGGTCAGCCCTATTTGATTACTAATAAGAGAGCTGTCCCTTCTGTCAGATACCGAACATTCTCCACTAAGCAAACAGCTATTCCAGCTAGTTAAACATTTGAAATGCAGCGTTCTCCACCGGTGCCACAGACTTCTTTAGGCTTAACTCTGTGGAGTTTTCCGGGTTTAATTTTTCAGACCCTGGACAGCAAAGTTCATGATCAAAAGATAACTTTGTAATGAAAGCTGCTGAAACTCAACCCCTCTTCAAAACACTCTAAACCTCTGCCTCACAAAACTGGTGTCATATGTACACGTCTAACATTTATTCGATTTGGGTACCAATTTCAAAATCTGCAGTCAATCACATGCTGGGCCCCTCGCAGCTCTCCACCGTTGGGAAGAAAGAACTCTCTCCTCAGAACAGCCTGGGGGAGCCGGGAAGGGAGGGTAGTGCCCTCGTTGTTGCTCCAGCTAAGATGCCAAGTGCACACTACCACTGTTAGGACAAATGCTTGGTACCTTAAAAGGATGCCACTTTGCCCGGGGAAGATGATAAATAGAAAGACCGGGAGCAGGAAACGTAAAGAATGCATACAGCTGATCTAGTTATGGAAATTAACGTTGGAAAATGTAACCAGCATGTGTAATTAGTTTCAATTATAACAACTTTGGTTTGTTAGTTACATATTTGCTGCTTGACATAAACCGACAGCCACAATTGGGAAAAAATTAGGAGACATTTTGCGTCTAATTGAGAGCAGATTAAATTCATTCTACCACTGGGTGACAATAGCAAGAGGAACACCACCCAAGTTTCAACTTCAACTACCATTCGAGATAAAAATATGCAGAAATGAAAATACTTGTTAACAAATTAGCAGAAAGCATTTTATGACATATCTCTGGGTTTAAAGCCAGAGACTCTCTAGGCATAAAGTGCTCCTCACAGTGAGCGCAGTGGCAGATGAAACTGCTTCCCTTGACAACTCACAAGCAATTACCGAATCCCCACAGAGCGAGTCACCAGGTTTCCAGTCAACCCACCTGTGCATGATAACACAGGCGGACAACAAATGGTGCAGTGCACAGGATGAGCTGAGCACCAGTCTCCGAGCTACCGTGCCACTGGAAACCAAGCAAGGCAGAGGGCCTGCTTGCTGCTGCCGTTCTGTTTTGAAAAATAAAGAAGTCATCCTTACCTGTCAATGATCACAGGATCTGAGGGCGTCTCGTTTCTATTGCCACAGCTTTTCTTGTCACAGCACCGGCTGTGGAACAATTGTAAACACGGGTTTCAGTATGCGTCTCATCCTTTTGTGTCCAACTTGTTTTGTTTTTTGTTTTGTTTCTAAGTCTGACAATGAAGCCGTAGGAGTCCAGAAAATAGTTTTCCTACAAGGCAGCTTGACAAATTTCAACTATGGCCAGTTCCCATGCTCCTTAGCTAAACTTATGCTGTAACTTTCTGCCCACAGGAGCAAAGTTAAACATACCTATTCATATTAGCTGGGTACCCAGAGCTACCACACAAACTGCGATGCTAAAATATGGAAAACATGCTGTTGGTGTTTGTCTTTGCAGTGAACTGAAGAGAAGGAAAGGCTGGAGGCTTGGGAATAACTTTTCACAGCTTTGGCTTTTGTTTACCTCTAATTGTCAAGCTGTTATTTCTGGAAAAGATGCCACCTCCAACCAATATTTCTTTCGGGTACTTATTAATTATAACCACAAAAGCATGCATCAATCTATCACAAATTTCTATTGTTACTTCTTTAAGCCTACCTTAACTCTGTTATTGAAACTTTAATTAAAGCAGAAATGAAACAAAAATGTTATGCGTCTTGCATTTTAAAAAAGCATACTTGTATAATGGTTACATGTCTAAATTAGCTAAATTAACACCATATGGTAGGCAAAGTATATAAAGCCTTTTAAAGCTGACAGCTAAAGTGATTAAAGAAAGTCTACAGTCTTCCACTTAGAGCTTAAATCACATCTGTGCGCTTTCTATGTTAATTGCAGAACATGCAGAAGTGGATAATAAAGAAATTCCACTTTATTGGTTGTAATTTATATTTATTACCTGATATGAGAAAAAGTCAGCTTTTGTATATTAGTGCTGTAACAATAAGTCTGCTCAGAAGTGGCATTTAGACAACAGGCCCCATAGCCAGGCAGAGTATGCCCCTCAGAGTACAGGGCCTGCTACTGTAGGCTGAACCACACTATTATTCCTTACAACTGTATTTCACATGCCACACATACAAAGTCAATGATGCATTTTTATTTGCCATGTAAGGGTGAAACTCTTGCGGTAGTTAGAAAAAAACAGGTGGGAAATTGCTCTTCTGACAGATCTCAAGTAACGGCACGCTATCTAACAACAATATGAACGATGCCTCGCTGCTCTAGGGAAGAAGGTTAACTGACAGAATCACAATCCAATTCTCACATACACGAGCTCCGTAATAAGTACAAAGAGTTTCCTTTTTATCAATAACAGACAATTGTACGTCTCGGGATGCGAGCGTCGGAGACGGAAGTACTCAAGTGATCCGGGTGATCTCTGGCTCCTGGGCCAGGACGGATGCGTCCCCTGGATCTGTTTTCTTTTCCTTTTTTTTTTTTTTTTTTTTAAACTACCAGGCCGGGCACCAGCCAACAAATTAACCCCTCTCTTCACCCCCGGGCCGGTGTACCCCCCCCTCCGGGGGGGGAAAGGGGG